AGCCCCAAGCCTGTGCCAATCTGAGGGTGCCTCATGCTACCCAACTTTGCTGCCATCCAACCTATGGGAGGGCAAGGTAGTAAGAAAGAGGTGTGTCCTCCTGGTACCTGTTAGGATGCATTCAGCTAACAGTGTTTAAACCACACAAATGGCTGCTGATCACTTACCCCGAAATCTGAGACAGGTGGTCCCAGGGATGCTTCAGGGCCTCGGTGATGCTGTCAAGGAACTGGGCTGGCTCTTTCCCCTCTGCCATCCTCAGGGCATCTGCAATGTTTTCCTGCAGGGTCACAGGGTGGCTGCCCTACGTTTCCATTCTCACAGGGCTGCTCCCAAGCAGAAAGAACTTTTTTTCCCCTTGCATGTCTCTCTTTTCCTTCAAGAAGTGTCTTTCCCAAAGCCTCCAGCCAACTTCTCCTTACATCTTGCATGACCAACTTGTCCTGGTTTGCCTGGTATTTTCCCGGTTTGCACTGAAATTCACAGGTCCTGGGAAACCCCAACTCCCTGGCAAATCTTGCCTATGGTGTCCCTACTTGTATCTCATTGGCTAGAACTGGGTCACATGTCCATCCCTTGACCAATCCCTAGTAAAGGGAATAGAAGTAGCCATCTGGTTTAAACCAATCAGGATTCACCTCCTAGGAGACTGGGCATGTTGCTGTTTGAACTGATCTGGGCTTCTGTGAGCAAGGAAGCAGAATAGCTGCTAGGTGGGCACCCTACAGTGTCCCCCACACTTGCACATATCAGAAATTAGCAGAGTCCCATCCTAGACAAGGCTCTGCTCTTCCCACCCCCATTGTCACTATCATGCTGTGTATGTGCTTTTGTGACTAAGTGTGAAAGAATTAGGAGCATGACAAGGATGTTGGGGGAGGGTGGAGGGTGGAGGAGAATAGCCCCAAATACAGCCTTCATCTGTGGTCCTGGGAAACAAGTTTATTTTTCATTTGAGCCTCACGTAGCCTAATTAGTGTGCAGTTTTCCAGGCATGCTATCCAAATGGGCAGCTTTCAGGTCATAATAACAAAGTCCAGAAAACAGCAGCTTTTTCTCTGAAGTGCTATCCTTTGACTGTCACTGTGTACAGATTGTGGAGGAGGGGACATCTAAGCAGAACAACAGAGTGGCTGGGCTGAGTATAGGCTAAGGAGTCAGTCCCAGCCATGGCTCCTTGGGGGCATTGTGATCACCAGCCTCCTCACTCACCTCTTGCCTCAGCTACACTTAGGACAGAGCTGCCCTGAGTCCGACTTGGAGGTCTATCTGACACCAAATCTCATGATTTGTGAGGTTTCAGACCCAGGGCCAGTCACTTTCACCTAAAACTTTAAAGACAAAGACACTGAGAATAAGTCATTTGTAAACCTGGTAATGGTGTCCTGTTCATTCATTCAAACAAATGTTTATTGAGCATATTGAGCACCTACTATGTGCCAGGCAGGTACTATGGTGTGCTGGGGAGCTAAACAGTGAACTTGACTAATAAGATCCTCACTCCCTGGAAGCTGACACTCTACAGCAGCGGTTCTAAACCTTCCTAATGCCACAACCCCTTAATACAGTTCCTCATGTTGTGCTGACCCACAACCATAAAATTATTTTCATTGCTACTCTATAACTGTAATTTTGCTACTGTTATGAATTGTAATGTAAATATCTTTTTGTTTTCCAATGGTCTTAGGCGACCCCTGTGAAAGGGTCGTTCGACCCCCAAAGGGGTCGCGACCCACAGGTTGAGAACTGCTGTTCTAGAGGTAGCAGACAGACACTAAGCAAGAACTAATACATATAGGGCCGGCGGAGTGGCGCGATGGTTAAGAACTGGCTTGGGACGCCAGAGGGCCCCGGTTCGGATCCCACATATGAGGGCCAGTGACACTGCCCTCCACAGCTAAGATGCTGAACAACAGCTCAACCTGGAGCTGGGCTGCCGGTGAGTCGCTAGCGATGGCGTAGGCTGCAGCCCCTGTGGCAGTGGGCTGCCATGGGCTACCGTATGTAGCCAGCAGCCAGCGTGAGCGGCCAGCAGCCGCAGTGAGGGGCCGTCCAGAAGCCGGCGACTGATCGGCCTCGCCCGGGAAGAGCGCAATGATGGTGCCAACTTGGGCCAGTGAAGCAACGTCCTCCACAACTAGACTGAAGAACAAAACGACAGCAACTTGTCTGTTCCCCTTCCCCCAATTCCCCAATAAAAATCTTTTAAAAAAAAAAGAACTAATACATATACATCATCATCACTAATAAGTGTGATAAAAAAATAATAAAGCCAGAGAAGGGGATAGAGAATGGCTAGGTAGATGCTGGGAGGGGTGGCGGCTCTTCTACACCAAAGGCCTGCAAACTACAGCCTGCAAGCTGCCACCTATTTTAGTAAATAAAATTTTATCGGAATACAGCCAAGCTCATTTATTTACAGATTGTCTATCGCTGATTTCATGCTACAATGGGAGAGCTGAGTAATTACCACAGAAATGATATGACCTGCAAAGCTGAAAACATTTACTATCTGGCCCTCAAACAAAAGTTTGCTGTCACAGTGAGATACCATTTCACACCCACTAGAGTGGCTATAATCAAAGAGACAGACAGTAACAAGTGCCAGTGAGGATGTGGACAAAACTGGAATGGGAATGTAAAATAGTGTAGCCTCTTTGGAAAACTGTCTGGCAGTTCCTTAAAAGGGTAAACACAAGAGTTACTATATGACCCAGCAATTCCATTCTAAGGTATGTACCCAAGATAAAGGAAAACAGATGTCCACACGAAACTTGTACGAGAGTGTTCATAGTGGCATTATTCATAATAGCCAAAAAGTGGAAACAACCCAAATGTCAACCAACGGATACATGAATACATAAAATGTGGTAAAGCCATACAATAGAATATTACTTGGCAATAAAAAGAAATCTAGGGCCGGCTGAGTGGCTCAGTTGGTTAAGAGCTCGCTCAAGAATTTGAGCTCTGAGCAACAGCGGTTCGATTCCCAGCCCAAGCTGAGCTGCCGCTGAGCTGCCAACAGGTGGCAGGATGGCTCAGCTAAAAAAAAAAAAAAAAGAAAAGAAAAAAAGAAATCTAATAGTGATATGGGTGACGTGGGCTACAGTATGGTTGAACTGTGAAAACACTATGCTAAATGAAAGAAGCCAGCTACCAAAGGACCACATATTCTATGATTCCAATTGTATGAAATATCCAGAATGGGGCAGTTTATAGAGACAAAATAGATTAGTGATTGCCTAGGGGTAGGCTAGGGAGTGACGGCTACAAGGTGCAGGGTTTGTTTTGGGGGTGATGAAAATTGATGGTGGTGATGCGTACACAACTCTGTGTCTATACTAAAAGGCAGTGAATTGTACACTTTAAATGGGTGGATTGTATGGCGTGTGAATTGTACCTCCATAAAACTGTTTTTAAAAGGTTTGCCGAGACAAAAAAAAAGGTTTGCCAACCTTTGCTCTAGTAAGATGGGGAAGGCCTCTGAGGAGGTAACATTTGAGCTTCTTTTGGCTCCAAGTTCTCAAATGGTTAACAGATGGCACTTTACTGAACACTTACATGCCGGGCACTGTGTGAAATATTTTACAATCACTACCTCGTTTATTCCTCACAAAAATTTCACGGCTTAGCTACTGACAACCCCATTTAACAGACGAAGAAACTGGAGCACAGAGGGGTTAGGTGACTTGCCTCAGGTCACACAGTGGACAAACAGCAAAACTGGGATCCAATTCCAGATGTCTCACTTCAACACCTGTGCCCTTAACCACTGAGACATACTGAATACAGTTCCCTGTCCAGTGTCTGAATCCCTGATCTTTCCCAGATTAGGAAGATGGCCCAAAGGAAGATGAAGAAGATGGGGAAGAGCACAGCCTTAAAGGAAGGTAAGGAAGGGCATGCCAGGTGCAGAGGAGAGCAGTGAGATGCTGAGATGTGTCTCTGGGCTCAGGGAGGGGCCTCACAGGGGGAGCAAGACACTAATGTAGTGGTTCCCAAACTTTAGAGGCATAGAAACCACCTAATGCAGGAAATAGAAGCAAGGTTGATTTAAAATGCACATTCCTGGGCCTCATTGCCAAAGATTCTGGTTTTGATGGGTCTGAGTTGGGGACCAATGTTAACAAACTCCCTGGGAGACTCTAATGCAGATGGTCCGGGGACCACACTGTGAGATGTCCAGCAGAAACTTCAAGTTCAGACTCCTCTGGGTGTCCCCTCCCCCCAGTCTTAGTATCCCTCTCTTTCCCCTCCCTCCCTGATAGCCCATATTCTGGCTCTCCTTCTCCCTGTGCGAGACCCCGTTTCAGGCCTCCTGGGCTCTGTTTCTGCTCTTTTCGCCACCTGGTGTGACCTTCCCTACCTTCCTTTGCTCTACTCCATCTCTTCCAAGAGGCTGCCTCACACCTTCCCTTTCCTTAGCCTCCCATCCCACAAGGGCTCATCTTTTGGGAGTCTGCTTAAGTGCTACCTCTTTATGAAACCTCCCCTAACCATAGGCAAGTTTCCTTACTGTAAAGTGAGGATGAAGAGCGAACGAGAATTTGTATGCAAGGAGCATTGCCAGCTCTCAATCAACAGTAGCTGTTATTTTTATATTGCTTAATCTTGGGCAGGTCAGTTCCTATATTTCTAAAATGATAAGCGCTCTTGTGCCAAGCACTATATTAAAACATATAATAACATATCTTTTATTATCCCCATTTTACAGTTGAGAAAAAGAGGGATTGAGAAACTTGTCCAAGGTCACCCAGCTACAAATGGGTCGTGCTTGGGATTGAACTGAGGCATCGGGCTCTCAGCTCTAATGATCATGCTTTACTGGCTTTCATTGTTAGGAGGCTCCAATGAGCTAACAAATGCCAGGACTCTGGCCCGGCATGGGGTAGGTGCTCAATAAATGCTGGACACTTAATTGAATGGAAAGGTTTCCACATCCAGGGAGAGGAGGAAAAATTACTCAAAGGCTTTAGTGATCATGATATATCATGCTTTTTATTTGACAAGACTCAGCATCTTAAGATCTCTAATGAAAATGGGATGTAAAAAAAAAATTCAGAAAAAACAATTCAGAATGGTGTTTCACTCAAAGCTCGGTGGGTTCAAAGCCTGAAAATCTGCTTCAAGGGGGTGAGTATGGGTTTTAGCTTCAGAACCTTACGGGGGTGCAGAGACACTGGAGGAGGAGGAAGGTACAGGGTACCTTCCATCCCATCCCACTCCCCTGCCCCCAGCTTCTGAATCTCTCTCTGTCACTCTATAGTGCTGTTACCTCAAATGAACAACTGGGAGAAAGTCAATCTAAGGAGGACGCAGTGGAAGAAAGCCCTGGATGTTATTTTCCAAACCAGGTGCCACATGGAATGGAAGCTCCTCCTCCCTGACCCCAAATCCTCTTTCAATTCTGTTCATTAATCTCATCTGCCCTCTGAGCTCCATACAAAACTTAGATAGACCAGACCTTTGAGCCTGGAGTCTTTCCACAGAGTCAGACAGCTTCCCACTTGATTGCATCAATCAGGGATCCTGTGAGTCACGTTTCTTCCAACAGGGAAGAACCATGAAAACATGACGCTAAGGGAAATCTTCAGTCTGGTTCCACTTTCACACAGCTGCCCAACTTTTGGTGGCTCAGAAGTCAAGAAGACAACAGGAAAAAAGAACAACGAACAATTCTACTGATTGAACCAAAACATAAAACATCAGGATTAACCCAAATCTCAATGAAGAATTTTTTTGAAAAGACAATTCCAACTGGGTTACAGGACACAAATGATAACAAGAGTCACCCCCAAAGGAGACCTAGGTGGCTTTCCGGAAATGGACGACTCTTTGAAATGCTTGCCGAAACTCTTCGTTAAACACAGTATATATTACTGGATTAATGAGGGAGTTTAAATAGCCTAGCCAGGTGAAAAAGTCAAAAAGGGCTGGGTGGAGCCAGCAGGAGTCCCTGCAGATGGGCAGGACCAGAGATGCAACGAAGAAGGGCAGCCAGCAGATGATAAACGCCCCCAGAATGATCCCCAAGGTTTTTGTGGCTTTCCTTTCTCGGGCAGCGCAAATCCTCTTGCGCTCCAGGACACTGTCCGCAAGCTTGATTTTGACGTGGTTGAAAAAGAGAGCGGAGCCGGCCGAGTGAGAGTGCCCCTCGTGAAGGCTGGGGTTGAGAGAGCAGAGCGAGGACCCCGCAGAGCCCGTGATGAGCTGCGCTGTGGTGAAGCGCTTCCCGTAGAGTGATGGTGGGTTCAGGATGCGGTTCCGGGCGGCCATGTAGATCCGGCCATAGAGGATGATGAGCAACACAGACGGGATGTAGAAAGCCCCACACGTGGAGTAGATGGTGTAGGAGATCTGAGACGTGTTCACCAGGCAATCCGACATCTCTTCGTGAGCTTTGGCCTGCCGCCAGAAGAGTGGTGGGATGGAGATGCAGATGGAGAGGACCCAGACGATGGCGATCATGATGGCCGCATGGCCCGCCGTCCGGCGTTTGCTGTACTCCAGGGCATCAGTGATGGCCCAGTACCTGTCCAGAGCAATGACACAGAGATGCAGGATGGAGGCCGTGCAGCATGTTATGTCAGAAGACAGCCAGATGTCACACAGGATTTGGCCAAAGCTCCAGGTGTGGGTGGTGGTATAGGCGATGCTGATGGGCATGACCAAGATGGAAACTAAGAGGTCCGTCATGGCCAGGGAGCCAATGAGATAGTTGGCCGGAGTGTGGAGCTTCCTGGTCAGGAAGATAGTGGTAAGCACGAAGGCATTGGAAAGGACTGTGGCCAGTGTGATGATGGAAAGGACCACAGTAAGACAAATCTTGAGGGCCTGGAGGGTCCCTGGGTCCCAGGCTTTTGGAGTTTCTGTAGCATTCACAGATGTGTTAGAGACCTCCTGGAGAAGGCCTTCCGCAGACTGGTTTGGTGGGGACATTCTAGGTGGCTCTCTCTTCCCACAGACTTCCCCACACTCGGCTCCTTCTTTCAGAGTTGTCTTGCCCACCGAACAAGGTCATCCTTCTGCTTCACACTGGTGGGGCCATTCATCAGAACAGACCAGAGTGAAGAGACCTCATGACTTTAGACTAAAGAACATTGAAATGACTACCAGTAAATGGTCTTTCCTAAACCAGATGAATCCTAGGATGTCTCACTGTGCTGGAACTTCGCCCAGCAAATGGTCCAGCCCACTGGACACAAGCTGAATTTGTTAGACATTTATCAGGATATCACACCAGTGCAGGCAGTGCTCTGGGGTTCTTGCCTTTGGCATTCTGGCTCCTTCCAAAGCTTGTGAGATAAATGGGTTTAATGAGAACGTCAGAATTTCCCCCATCCCATTCTGAGAAGATTGGGGATTTCAGGTTGCCTCTGGGGAGCTTTTAAAACTGGAGACAAAAAGAAGTACCAGCTGAGTCAGAGAGGAAGTCCACTCTACAGGTCAGAGTTTTCCCAGGTTCATCTTGACACACCACAATGTATTTAACTTTGGTTCTTTCCCACTGATCCTTTTGAGCCTGAACAGACAAAACATTCCAGTTACCAAGACTTGAAGAATGCAGGAGCTGGGAGAAGGCAAAACAAATGGATCACTGTGGGTTCATCGAGGGCACATGTTCAAAGCTCTGGGGGTTTAAAAAGAAAAAAAGTCAAGCGTTAGGTTCTAGGAGGACAATTTAGACACTTGAGATTATAAGATTAAAAGGATACTGCTTAGTACTGGCAGTGGTGCAGTGAAACTGGCATTCTGGAAAGTGGCAGGAGAATACTGGGAGGGCAAGGTGCCTCACCCCCACAATTCCCAGAGGGACAAAGTGTCATAGCTGTTGGAAGCATCAGAGGCTTGTTACAAGTACATGAAATCAGCTCTGTAAATTGTGAATCAGAAATCGTTCTATTTATTCAGCAATGGAAACTAAACAAAATAACTCTGTGCAAGGGGAAAAAAAGGGGGGGGCAAGGAGTAACCAAGAAAGATACCAAATTGTTATAATGTATTTCTCTAGGAATTGGTGAGGGGGTTGACCTTTCTCCTATTCAGTGAAATTTCCAAATTTCCTAGAGTGAGCATGACTCTTATAACCAAAAAAAAAGCAAAAAACCCCATCTTTTTGTTAAGCAAAGAAATTAAAACCCTGAGCATTTTTTTATGGTGAAAGTTCAAATAATTCAGAAAATGCATTTGGTTTTCCAAGTGGAAACTGGAAATTTAGTCACAAGAAAATCTTGAAGACTCAGTTTCTTTTTCCCTCTGGCCTTGAATCTGGGTTTCAGTATATAGGACATGGGCAAGCCCTGGGGTTCTTGGGACATGGGGACCTTGGCACTGCTGATTAGTGAGGCAAATCAGAGGGCAGTCAGAGCAGGCACATGTCTGGCATGACCCCAACTGAAATCCATGGGGCCTGGCAGGCAACCCCTGGGTATGTGGGGTTGGCAAGAAGAATGCCAAGACCACTTAGCCCCATCCACACCCCTGATATGTCTCCCCCTGCCTTGTGTGGAACGCTACAACTCCACCAGGAATCCCTATGATTCATTTCGTTTCTTCCAAGTCAACTTAGCAAACAGGTTCTGCCCGGGGGGACACACAGCCCTGAGCAAACATGTAGCTTCCAGGACCCTGGGATGGCACTGGCAAGGGCTGCATATTGTTCCATTGGTTGGCTACATTAAGGAGAAGGGTTTCAATAGTCAGAGTCAGGAGGGTGGCAATCCTGGTGGCTGGAAAGGCAAGAGCAAAAGCCCAGGGGTCAGAAAGTGCAAGGCATGGTCAGAGGAGGGCAGAGAGACCAGCCGGCTGGAGTGCAGAGAGCAGAGGCAGGGCAGGAGATAAGGCCCAGGAGGTGGCTGCCGCCAGGGGCTAGGGGTGGGGAGCAGAGGCCACTGGGGCAATCTGGCCTCTAGTCCCTGTTCTGCCCCAGCCTTCCTGTATGACCTTGGGCAAGTCCCTTACCCTTTCTGAATCTCAGACTTCCCCAAAACACTGACCACCCACCCCATCTGCCTCCCATGGCTGCTGTGCAGCTTCCAGGCTCCCAGAAAGGCCAGCCTTTGAACCCCAGTAAGATGCTGAGAAGCACCTAGAATCATTATCATCCTCCTCCCCATCCCCCAGCTCAGCTAAGGACTTTGGCGGGAAGGTTCAGTCTATGTTTGTTGAGTGATTGATTTTTTTTTTTAAGCTGAGCCACCCTGCCACCTGTTGGCAGCTCAGTGGCTGCTCAGCTCGGGCCGGGAATCGAACCGCTGTTGCTCAGAGCTCAAACTCTTGAGCGAGCTCTTAACCAACTGAGCCACTCAGCCTGCCTGAGTGATTGATTTTTAAGCATTAAGAAGCTAAACCTGCAATGTGGTAGTTTCCCTCCTACCCTCCCAAATTATAAGTGCTTCATCTTTTAAAAAAATATGTGCCTAGAGCAGAGAAAAGAGCCTCAATTTAAGAAAACCAACCTTCAGCCACCTGCTCCAAAATAGTCTCAAAGTTTGAAGGCTGTTAGAGTCTCTTTCATGGGGCTCTAGGTATGTTCCAGGCACTAAGTTAGCCTTGGGGCTAAGAGTCACCTGACCTGGGAAGTGAGCAACATGACCCCCTACTTACAAATGAGCCAACCAGTGCTCAGAGAGGTGATGTCACCTGCCCCAGGTCACCCAGGTGGAAGTGGAAAAACCAGGTCCAGGGCCAGCTCTCCGTTCTCTCCACACTGCCTCCATTCAGGAAGAAGAGCCTTAGGCACATGTGCCTTCAGGAACGAGGCCAGTTTGGGATCTCGTGGTGATAAGTGAAAATATGAGCCCTCCTGCCCAACCCCAAAAGCCTCTGGCTAAAGATTCCTCCCATTTTGGTTCACACGGAAAATGTGAAGTTGGGTTGAGACTGTTTGGAATTTTCTTCCTTCCAGACAGTCTGGGTGAGTGGGGCGCCACCATTTGTCACGGAAGGCTGGTGTACTTGCCCCACAAACCCATGCGGTCACTTCTTGGGTTCCAGGGATTCCGATGACCTCATTCCAGTGAAAGGCGTGGGCTCAGAAAGGCCTGAGAGGCTGGTGGGGGTGACATCTTGGGAAGAAGGACTGGATGGATGGCCTCGGTAAGGAATGTGGGGCTGTAGCCTTTGCAGGAAGCTACAGGACTCTGAGGCCATCTCCCTCCTCTCCTGCCTGCTGTCCTTCCCCATCCTGAACAAAGGTGGGGGAACTTCCCATTATCTGGCTACCTTTGGAGATACAGACTATAGCTCTATAATCAACCACCTCTCTTCCATCACACTTCAAATAATAAAATAAGAATGCAAATTAAAACAATAATGAGAACCCATTCTCACCCAGCAGATAGGTAAACGTTTTAAATCTGATCATGTCATGTCATTTGGTAAGGAGAAGGGTTTCCATAATGAAAGCTGGGAGGGATGGCAATCCTGGTGGCTGGAAAGGCAAGAGCAGGAATTGTCACCTACCACTAGGAGAGTATACATTGGAGGAACCTTGCTAACAAACAATTTGGCATTATCTCATAAAGCTAAAGGTGTAATGACTACCTTGTGATCCAGGAATTTCACTCCCAGGTGTGTACAACAGAGACACTTTTGGATGTGTCCCCCAGCAGACAGCAGCAAGAATGGTCAAGGCAGCACTGACTGTAATAGCAAACAATGGGAAACCACCCAAACGTCTATCGACAGCAGAATGATAGAATGTGGCATAGTCCTACGATGAGGTGCTACAGAGAAGCAAAACTGAGTAAGCCAACGCTGCACGCATTCTCACAAACATACCACTGAATGACAAAGTCAAAAACATGCAGGATGAAACAAACTGTTTAGGGATATAAATATATGTGGCAAAGCCATTAAGGAAAAGCAAGGAAACGTTAAATATAAAATTACATCTGGAGAGGAAAGAATGCGGGAGTGTCACTGTGGAGGGATTTGAAAGGTATCAGTCATGTTCTATGTTTTAAGGTGGTGGTGGGTACGTGGATGTTTATGATTCTTTAATCTGTATGTTATATGTATATACACTCCTTTGTAGGGAATGACATATTCGTCGTTTTCCTTAATCAATTTTGTGCATTATAAAAAAAAGACAAGCACACTACCAGCAATGCATTGATACATTTTGATACATTAGTATCTATTTGATACCATTTGAGTCCCAAAGATCTGGGTTCTGGTCCCAGCTCCGCCACTGATCAGCAGGGTAGCCAAGGGCAAGTCACAACTTCTTTTTAACCATCAATTTCTTTCCTGGTAAAATGGAACTTAACTATGGCTACATTGCCCCAAAGGAGTGTTTACTAATTCCAAGAAGGTCATGTACGTGATGCGCTGGTGTGGAGTCCTGAACAAATGTAATGGTGGTAACAATGATGGAGGGCAGAGGCCAAAAGCATACATTTTAAGTCAGGCAGGCTCAGGTCCCAGTCTCCACGGCTCCACTTTCTCATGTGGCCAATGCGCAAGTCACTCAAGCACTCCGGGCCTGCACAGCCTCCGGGATGGAGATGCTAGTCCATCCCTCACAGGAGTTTGGGGAGGACTGGTAAGATCAGGGATCCAAATGTCCAATGTAGTAAATGATGACTTCTCTGGTTTCTCTATAATAGGTCCAACCACAGTCAGATCTCCAGAAAACAAGGTCTCTTCCCACACCAGAAACAAGGCGTCACTGTCAGCCATGCCCTGGAGCGTCTCGCCTGTCCACATGAGTCACCACAGCAGCAGCACAGACTTTCCTCAGCCTCTCCGCAGCCCAGCAGCGTCTCGCCTGGAGTCCAGATCACACCGTGCACCATTCAGCTCCAGCATCTCTGCAGAAGGATGGGGGGGGGGGGAAGCAGGCAGACAGACCTGGGTCCCAATCTCAACTTGTTCCACAGACCGCCTCTGACCACAGCTGATTGGACCAGGGTAGACACATGATCCAAAATGAGCCAGGCCGGTTCTCTCTGGGGAATTTAGAGTGGAGACTGTGAGCTGCTGGGCAGATAGATAACAGAAGGGGAGCAACCTGAAAGCTAAGGATCCTGAGGCTGGACTTGGGCCAAAGCCATGACCAAAGCCAGGACAAGTGTTGGGGGGTGGGGGAGAGGGAGGGCAGAAAAGCCATAAATAAACAAAGAAAACAGATCTGCAGAGAGAGGCAGGAGAATGGCACAGACAGAGAAAGGAGAGAGAGAGGGGAACCACCCACCCTAGGAGAGGAGGATGGAGACTTTCAGGCCCAGCGATCCTCCTTTCTATCCTCGGATGTCCACGAGTGACCTCTGTACCCAGGAAACAGCATTTGTACCAACTCATACTTTTCCTAGTTGAGCCAGTTCAAATGGACACAACAGGCCCTGAGAAATCGTAATAAGACAGAGGTTTTTCAGGGTGGCCGGTTAGCTCAGGTGGTTAGAGCACAGGCTAATAACACCAAGGTTGCCAGTTTGATCCCCACATGGGCCACTGAGGTGCACCCTCTACAACCAGATTGAGACAACTGCTTGACTTGGAGCTGATGGGTCCTGGAAAAACACACTGTTAAAAAAAAAAAAAGACGGGTTTTTCAGTTCCCTCCCACCAAGCAATCCCTACTGTGGCTCGAGGCAGGCCACTTCACCTCCTGGGCTTTTCTCCCTCATCGATAAATTGGGGTCACAGTACCTTCCTCCCAGAGCTGCGATGTGGGTTCAGTGGAAGAGGAAAAACATGCAGCACCTACGCCATGGCAGGTGTCCTTTTCATCACTCTTAATTAAGGCTTCCTCCTTAGGGAGATCAGTCACCTTGTCCTTTCCGAAGTATCTTGATTTTAACTAAGTGAGTCATATAACTTTGCCAGAAACAAAGAGGATGCATGGGTTTAATGTATGCTCAGAAGCCAGCCTCATCCCTTTGGAAGAAAAAAGCCAAATAAAGATTTGTTGCAGTAGAATCATCCCCACAGAGGAATTCGTGTCTGTCCGTTCTTTCACCGGAAGCCATGGCACTGATGAGTGAGCCCGGATGGGGAAAGGATTCTCCATGGAGCTGAAGAGTGCTCTCTGGTGTACAAAGTGCATCCACAGCTGTGACTGCATCTTTCTTTCCACTGCACGGTGTCTCCCACAATCTCTGTTCTCTCCTCTGCAAAATCAGGGTATCACGTCTACCTCCTGGGGGTGAATTGAGGGTGAAATAAAATAATAGGGCCGAGCCAAGTGGCACGTTAAGAGTTGGCTTGGGACCCCAGCTCTGAGCAGCAGGGCCCCGGTTTGGATCCCACATGAGGGCCAGTGACGCTGCGCCCTCTACAGCTAAGATGGTGAACAACAGCTCGACCTGGAGCTGGGCTGCCGTGAGTCGC